ATATTTGCCAATACCTACATTCTATATAATGATATGCGAGCACATTTCTTATCGTACTAATTGTGGTGACACAGCCGGTATCACCACTCGCTATCGCGAGTCAGTCCGACCCGGCGGTCGCAGTTGTTTTATATTCTCTTTATGTTATTTTATGTATGTTCCGTGAATTATTGTAAGGTATCGCGGAATCATTGCCCCCACCGGACGGTCAAACGTTTTGGCGGACAACCGACGTTCGCGCCTGAGTTCCCGCGGGTTTTTCTAATTCTTCTCTTTCCGACGCCCGCCTCGTCTAGTCGGCTTTTGTTTTTGTCAAAATTATTCCGCACAAACCCTCGCAAATAATCCCGCGATCCGCACAGTAAGCGTGCATTTAACCTGTTTTGAATTGTTTTTGCTTAAACTAATAAAAACACCGTACGGACAGCGTATTTTCAGTACGCCTACCAAATACATCCGTGCAGCCTTTTTTTCTTTTCTTACCTTCCTCGTGCGAGAAGCCAGAACGCATTTTCCTAATAAATTGTTGGTCGATAACCGGGCTATAAACAGGTTGCGCCCCACGTTATCAACCACATTAATTTCGTCTATATCAATTGTCGGCACGGACTGGATTAGCATCGAGTGCAATATCTATCAGCCGAAAATGTAACTCAAGAGAGGAGTGCAGGGGGTTACAAAAACTAACTGATTTTATCGCCAACTATAGGTCAAATTGAATTTTAATATATTTTACATTTTAATAATTATTAAGCAATTAAACTTTAAAGGATAATACACTCATCCTAAGTATGTAAATTATGTATAAAATATATCTTGAGGGTTGCTGTATATACAATTTAAATATTATCTTTTTGTATTAACTAAATGAAAATATAGGACTTATGTTACTAGATGGTGTTGAAATTTACTCTATTATTTGATAGGTGGACGTGGAGTGAAGGAAGGGGCATAACATTTGATCGCCCCAACACTCCCAGCCTGTTTAATGAAAGTCCATTATATCTTAGTCTGTGATGGTTGGTAACCTTTTTCCACGAAAGAACCAAAAGTTACAATATACAAATTGTATTAATAGGCCCTAAGTAAATAGAAGGGACTATAGGCTTGCACGCAGCAGCAGCAAGGTGTTGCAGGGTTTTGTTACCCTTGAACGGTTTGAACAAATTTGTAAGGACCAAACAGACGCGAGCCGGGCTGTCGTAAAATTAGCAATCCAAAAAGTGGATTGAATTACCAAACTAATCTTTTCTGTGCTTAAATAAGTCTATATAAATATATTATAACATAGACTACAGTATATAATTATTATTAACTAGCTGGGGTCTTACAAAAAAATATTTATACTGATAACATATTTTACAAATTTAGTTTATTAGGTGGACGTTTGACTAGCTTAGGTCTTTCAGTACTAACACACTTAACCTTATCCTTAGTTAACACACTATTCTTTTGAGAATCTAGTGTTCTTTTTCTAATTCCTCAGTTACCTCTAATTTTTCCCCAATTTCTTCTTCTAGCTTTAAACTAATGTTTTGATCTGTACTACCCACCCTCTCCCTCAACAACTAAACCACAATCTATAACCTGATTCACGTGTCTCTTCCAAATTCTACCATCATCTGATCTCAAGTCATAAATTACAGGAAATAATTTCTGTAACATAACTTGCTTGTACCCATCCATCACCTCCAGTATAATTCCTACACATTACGAAATCACCAACAATATACTCTTTATTTTTATTACCTCTATACCAATTTTTATTTTTATCCAAACTTTTTTTATAATTAACTTTAGCAAAAGGTGTTAACCTATTATAAGATGTAAATAAAGAACGCTTATTGATATAATACATTTTTATTATATATATATTATTTATAATAGTGTTCATCACTGTCTGAATTAAAATTAAAATCTTTGTCAGTATCTAAATCATCATGATCCTCATCAGAAGTCTCTAAATCTGACCCTGAAGCCTGAAGGTATCATTTATCAAACATTTTTCATTTTCTCTTTTTTTACTCAAACTTCTTGAATGTCGATACATTTCTAAACAAAATAATACTTTTTCTTCTTATACACACCACGTAATTTACAAATTATGATACACTAAAATGTATAATGACTTACTAGAATCCGGAAAAAAGTGATTTTAATAAAAATGAATATAAATTTAAATAATGTAATTTATTAAGTGTATAATATAATTATATGAGTGCAGACACTAACTACTGAGTGTTGGTTATTGCAAATGACCACAGAAAATTCCGATATTACACAAAATGTAAAGTAATTAGGTAGATTAGACTGATAGACAGGCTTCTAAGAAAGGCAAATAAAGATAGAAATAATACACGAATAGTACGATAGTGAATATTCTGAGAAAACCAACACAAATTTAATTTTACTAATACATTTTTAGAAAATCAAAAATAACTAAAATACATTCAATAGTAATAAATATTGGTATATCCCATATTCCCACCTACTTATATATGAATTAACCAGCTATTGTGATCAGCAACAACCACTAACTGGGAAAATAAAAAACAATATTTTGCAATAAGCAGACAAATTAGTTGGTCAGCTGCACTAAGCATATCATGGAAAAGAGTTGACGAAAAAATAATGTGTGATAATGGTTCATTGTTAATTTTAACTTTCCATTTAATATACCAGGAAGATTGGTTAAGCAGTTTGGTAAGTATAATTTGGCGGTGACCATTGAGAAGAATTTTTTTTTATTTATACAGAAGGCCTGTGTGCCCTATTGAAGTAGAAAAATTGCAACATTTTAAATTGGTGAGGCCACTGTGGCGGGGGAAATGTACATTTAAAGTTTATGAGAGAAAAGCAATACAAAACTATTAAAGCAAAATGTTAAAAACAATTTATAATTTTCGTTTTAACTGATTTACTGTTTGATTATACCTGTATTATAAAATCGGTAAAATATTTGCCTTGAGTAGTTAACATTTCCAAAACAATCGATGAATCATGTCTGACCAAAAAAAAATCCATTGTACGGTGAATACTTTATTTCCGGAAACAATTCATACAGCTCTTCAAGTATTCTCGGTCGAGGAACATTATGCAGTTCAAAGCTGGCAACTGCTTTACCAACTAGGTCAAATGTGAATTTTTTTAGTTTAGCCATTGGTGACAGATATCCGACAATTGGGCGTCCAGTATACATATCAACTTGCAACCAATGCGTAATTTCTGTCCAGCGCCTTTTTACATTTACTTAATTTATAGGAAAGCGTTCTTTTGATATGCGTTTAGTTTGTTTTGACTTGAAACATGGTGTTTAAATAAATAATGTAAATAATAATATGCCCGGTTCTGTCGTCATAACTAAATCAAAATAAAATACGTAACTAGGTACTTAAAAAATAAGTTGCTTTAGTAAAAATTTCACTTTCATGTACATTTGAATATTATAGGTATCTTTTAAGTATCTACTTAATAATTTTCCCTGCACAGTTTTATAAGAACAGGTGAGTGACTGGATTTCCAATGGTCTTACGGTCCTTTTATATGCTGTTAGTATTTTTGGCAATAGTAAAACTAAAAACCATGCATTTTTCAGTTTGTCTACACGCGCATTGTCTTATCTGCGCAGTTTAATAGAAACAGTTTTGTCAATTAGTATTTTAAATTTATTTCCGATCAACTGCCCAGTTCTGAAAATTACGTCGCATCAACCTACACGCGTACGATTTTGTCTCGAAGATAAAACTGTTCGGTCGAATCTGCACAGTTATAACTGAACGTGTGTGGCCCCCTTTAGAAATAGGTACTAAAACGGAGGGTCAGAATATTGTCTGCAAGTAAGTTGAATATGTGGGTAAATATGACATATATAACAATGTAACTTTTTACGACTTTCTGATTTGATTTTCTAATACAAAGGGTTTCGCTTAATGTGATCACTTTGGTGCAGGTCATTTTGATTCTATTAACCGGTTGATTCTATAAAACAGGGGTCGGGAACTGGCGGACAGCAGAAGTCAAAACTCTGAACCCAGTCAACATGTATATTATTTCTTCTCATTATTCGTTCTATACGTTGAGTAAGACACACAAAATTGTCAGCAAAAATAGGAAGTTCATGAACGAGTGAACAGAACTATATTATTTTGTATTGCCTGAAAGGGTTGGAGCCATTCCAGTCCGTTTAATTTATAATTCAACTATCGCTATTATTCAAAGTGGAAATTTAAAACGGCATTATTATTTTTAAACTGCTTTTTTTAAAATATAAAGATTTGAAAAATATTTTTTCACTGGACCACATTGATTTATTATTTTAATCTTTAGGACTCCAATAGAAATTACTTGCCGAGCCCTGCTATAAAACATTTGCAACATTTTTTTCATAATTCAATCTTTAAATACAATTACATATTTATTTATGATTACATATTTAATGTCAGTGGCGAACCCAGGGGGGTGGACCCCGGGTCCGGACCCCCCCCCCTTGGCTCATGCCATAGTATTTATTTTTATTTCATATTTTTAAAGTTACCCAGAAGTTTTCATCAAAATGTATTGATTATAATTATTATTAGAGCTGGTATATTGTTAATAACACAAAGAATCTGATGTATAGATAAAATCAACGATTGTCAATAACCTATTATATCATAATGATAATATACGTATATAGTTGCAATCAGTGTAAGATAAAATATATGTACATCATATAACGTGATACGTATGTCGTATATCTTAATCCGTGGTTTTTCTATGAGTTTTACTGACTGACCAATAATATATAAATATCAGCGATAAAACGGGCGGTGTTGAGTATAGTGATGTATAGTCTGTACAGTCTGCGATATTTGTTACTACAATATACGTACATTGGAAAAAAAAAAAAAAATAATTATAATTTTTTTCCATAAATGTTGTGTGTACAGTGGATATTTGTGCTTATAATTTTCTATATTCGTATTTCAAGTAAACGTTAAAAATATTATATTAATTCAGCCATGAAACGAAGTATAAATGACTATTTTGTATCAAAAGTGAGGTGTGTAAGTAATAGTTCTAATGTAACAAATAATAGAGATGTTTCGGTTTCAAATTTAACACAAGTTCCGGACAAAGACGAACAAAATGTTATTTTGAGTACTCCGGTGCCTAAAAATTATAGTATATTTGATATAAAACTATATATTGATAAACTATTGACGAAAACCGAAAAAACGGAAGCATTAAATACAATTTGGACGCCAGGTAAAAATTATGATTTTCCTATTACGCTTTATGGTAGTAAAAATTTAAAATTTCAAATGTCGTGGTTTGATAAATGGAGTTGGATTGCATATAGTGGTTTAGATGATGGCATTTATTGCAAATATTGTGTATTGTTTTGCGTCAAACAAGGTGGGAAAGGAGACCAATCGCTTGGGCAGCTTTGCACTCAACCATTAAAAAATTGGAAACACGCAATTGAAAAGCTTAAATCGCACGAAGCTAATAATTATCATATTAATTGTGTTTTAAATTTTCAACATTTGTCTGCGGTAATTTCAGGGGAAGAGTCTTCTGTGTATGACCAAATTAATAAGGTAGCAAAAAAACAAAAAGACGATAATAGGAAAATTATTAGCCCTGTAATTCGATCAGTTATACTCTGTGGTCGTCAGGGAATTGCCTTAAGAGGCCACCAGGATTGTGGTCCATTAAAATTAACTGAACCAAGTGAAAATGATGGCAATTTTCGTGCTTTACTTCGATTTTAAATTAATTTATGGCATAGGTTTTTAAGATAAAATAATATTAAACCCACGAGTGCATTAGACGCACTATCAAAATGTAATCCGGATTTTTATAAAAATGTATATACCTTATTGCACATCCTCGTTGTTCTACCTGTTACATCGTGTGAAGCGGAACGAACATTCTCATCTCTCAAGAGAATTAAAAACTATTTGAGGAACACTACTTCTGAAAATAGGTTGAATGGTTTGGCTAATCTTAATATTCACCGAGAAGTCCCAGTAACAGTGGAAGAAGTTATAAATATATTATCTGAAGAAAATCGGCGCTTAGATTTTACACTATAGATAATAATAATAAATAATGACTTTACCATAATTTAATTGGCATAATAATAATAATTATTTTTTCATTGTAAATATAAATTTAAAAATGTAAATAATATGTGTATTGAATAATATAATTGTATTTATCAAGCAATGAAATGTATTTATAATGTATATAGTATATACTCAGGAAGAGAACAGAAAAACAATATATAATAAATAAAAAATTTTCCTGGACCCCCCCTTGAATAAATCCTGGTTGCGCCACTGTTTAATGTAACATACATAATAAATGAAACAAGTATACGACGCACAAAGATAATTGAATAACATAAAAACGTAAGAAGATTTACTGTGATAATAATAAGTTCAAAAATAAAGTGAGTTTTATAAATTAATGAGTTTGAAATAAGATTGTTCATAAAAGCGATTAAATTATCCGATACTTAGTGATTCTAATAAAAGGTCAATTTAACATTAGTAACACACAATTTGGTTTGGGATTTTTATTTTTAATTCTAATTAACCAGTGATTTCATTAAGCGGAACTCACTGTACTACCTATTTATCCTGATTGTTGAGTGTTAAGTTATTATACAATACATACGGTTTTTAAGTAATAATGTTCGTTGTATGAATATATAGTGGACTGTATTGTGGTAAAAGGTACAAAAAAATAGAACTAGAGTTTTTTTTTTAATTTAAAAGTTTACAGACTTTAACTACTATAGTTATAAGCCAACATTTTTTTTTTTTTAAGGGAAGTAAGAGAAGTAAAAGGTACAATATTTGTTTAAGAATACAAAGAAAAATCATTTACGTATATTTACAATTGAACATGAACTTAAAACTATATTTTATTGATAAGATTGTCTTTGGTGATGAATTGGATGATTTTGAAAGTGGATTCTTCGTTGAGGGCTTCTTTGATGTTGAGTGGGAGGTTGAGAAGTGTGAGAGTTGGCTCATGTATTGAGTATTCTTTAAAAATATAAAGGTATTTTATCTGTGTTGTCGAGTATATTTTTTCTAGCTAAGAAGGCTAATGCCAGGGGGATGTAACTCTATGCGATACATCTGATAGTAAGTTTGAGACACGCGGCATACCAACATAACTAAACATCTAATATTCCCTTTATATGGCAAACTTTACACGTATACGTCATCAAATAAATTTGTGTTTTTTGAATGTGCGCGTTTGTGTTTGTCAGTTTTGTCAAGCGAATAACACCGACAGTGCAACACTGTCCATTACGTCTATGAAAATAAAAAAAGAACAGCATCCTGGAAGGACATAGTACAATTTTATGAGCTAGACAAACATCAAAGTACTGGATGTGATCGTTTAGCCCCCAAACTTACTGACAACCATATATATCCTGATAAAATGAAGAAGATGAAAGTTTCATGTGCTGCTCATGTATTCAGTCAACAAGTTGGTGCTATTATGAAAAGATTGACATCTATCTCAAGTCAATCAATACTAAGTGAGTTCAAATCACCAGAAGATACGGGCCATCTATGTTTATTCATTGATAATCTGTTTGATAGCGCTAATGGAAATACTATCAAACCATCTGTTGGAAAAGACTTACGTAGTGCAGTGACGGCCAATTCTCCACATTGGGAATTTCGGAAAAAAATCATTAATTGTACTAAAAAGTATGAAATATGAAACCAAAACCAAAAAACAAGTGCCATCTGTAATTAATTGGATAAGAACTATAAAAGGATTACAAATACTTTGTAAACGCCTCCTCAAAAATGGTTCCAAATTCCTTATGTTAATGACTCCAGTTTCTAGTTGTTTACCCAACTCTACCGGGCCGAACTATTTTGACACATTATACTTGTCAGAAATCGCACCTTAAATACAAAATTTACTACTGATAGACGGATTTCCCTAAAATATTCTGGGGGCTTTAAGGGTGGATACCACCCAGTAACCACCTTCTTATATGGGAGAATCACCGGAATCACCGGTGAATCTTCGATTTCTACCTACGGGTTCCAGTCTGCTCCTGAAAACTCCAGACCATTTTACCTGCATCCGAAGATTCTTAGGTCAGGTTAGACTTAAAATTCACTGGAAATTGAGTAAAAATCAAGAAATCAATTGGGTCACATAATATAATATCTAGAAAATAATTGATTGTTGGAGATTAAAGGTCATCGTTTTCCAAAAAATGTAATTTGAATCTAAAATCTTAAGTTCTTCAAAAGTTCAAATAAAACACATAGAAGATCATAAAACAAACACATATAACAATAATATATTCTTCTTCAGAATAAACTAAACTCATCGTTACACCAGATATTTGTTGTAAGCCTCATAGAAAATGAAAAAAAAATAGAATTTAATTTCTGTTGCAGAAAATTTATCTTTAAAAGCTAACATGAAAGCCTGATATGATTTCTTTTCTATCTATTATACAAATGTAAAAAAGTGTTCTCCTTTCATATTTTCTGTTCTGGAAATATATCCAACTTTCAATTATTTTGTTTGTCTGAAGAAGAGGGTCGGTTTTGTGATATTATCTTGTTATCTTGCTCAATCGTATCATATTTTGATTTTTGTATATTCCAACGTTTCAATTCCATATGTGCTCAATCAACGTTTGGTATCGCAAAAACAATATTATATTGTGCAATATAATTGGAACTTAATATAATTACATGTGACGTGGCAAGTATCTTATATACTATAGGTTCTTAAAGGGGGGTCCGTAGATGGTTACTCGGGAGCTCACGGGTCGGCTGTGTTTTTTTTAAATAATTCAAAAATAAATTTGTTTGAAATTGATGAATAATATTATTTGATGAACCTTTACAGTAGGAACTGTACATTCATAGAATATAATAGTAAAGATAAGGAAATATATCAATTCAGGTACGAGCAGTGACACGCGTCCATAAAAAATAAACGCATTTGTAAATAAAATTTTCGGTTAGAAATAAAAACTTCAATTTTATTGGACCGTTAAATTAATAATTTTTTCATGCAACCCGCCATTAAAATATAAAATCATAAATAGAAACAAGGGAAATTCTTGTTGCCAAATAAATAAAGAATCATAGGACACAGATAGTTTTTGCTGAGTAAAGACATAAAATAGAAATTAAAAATATTTTTATAGTTTTCACTTGTGTGTTTTTAACAATGGTCAGCTATTTGACACAAAAGCATATTGAATAAAAGTTTCTAAAGCATTTTTAAAAAACAGTTACACTGTCTTGATAACTGTCTGAATACTTTTGTTCAAAATTTGCATTCATCGCATGGGTTCATGTTTTCTAGGTATTCTGTAGTATGTCTTAGATATGTCATAAAAACATATGAAATATACTATTTTAAAATCTATTTAGTAAAAAAATGTTTAGTTTAATGATACTTTCTGTACTTACAAGAAGTTCTTTAATCAGATCATTTTTTTCATTTTTTCATTCTTTGACGGATGTTTCTTGTAGCAAATTTAACCCTTTTAATACCATTGGGAAGTATATATCCCAAAAAGGTTTTTATACATCCCAGTAACCATTCGTCCCTTTAAATAACGTGTCCAAATGTCCCAATGGTTTTTACAGGCTTTTCAACTGTTATTTGACTTGTTTACTGATAGATTGCAGCACTTGTACGACCAAAATGTGTTATTTTTTGATTTAATTTTGTATTTTGATTATCATTTTTTCATATTACTGCCGTTAATTCTAATTTATATTTTGATAATTAATTATTCTTATTGATTTTGTGCTTGTTTTTATCAATGTTCATATTTATATTGACTTCAAATTTTGAGCCATCTGATGAAAGTTCATCGGATGATGACTATGAATCAGATAAAGAGGGTAGTAATATTGTTATTCCTAATACCAATCCCGATGATGAATCAGATGACGAGGGTAATAATATTGTTATTCCTACTCCCGATCCTAATCATGTTATTTGGTCTCAACCACGTCGTTCATTTACTCCGCGGTTTACTATACCTGATGACCGTAAACCTGAAGTATTGGTTGATTTGGAACCTGGTTGTTCAGAATTGAAATGTTTTCAAAAATTTTTTCCAAGCAGTTTGTACATATTTAAAAGTCAATGCACGAATGAACGTTTACAGATACTAAGGGGCAAAAAGAAGAAAAATAAAGATGAAATTCGAGATTCAGACTCTAGTGAAATAATGCTAACACTTGGTTGCCTTCTTGTTATGAGTTATAATAAATTACCTAATGTGTACGATTATTGGTCCCAAAATTCATCTATGGGGAACCAAGCCATACAAATGGGAATGGCACGTAATAGGATGTCTAAACTGTATTTCAATCACCCAAAGCCCCACCTACAAATGCTCCTAAAACATACTACATTGACGAAATGGTAAATTGTTTGAAGTATACATTATTGAGTTCTCGAGGAGAGAGCCAGTTTCAACGTTTGGACGAATTTATGACGAAATTCAAAGGTAGATCCAGTTTGAAACAGTATATGCCGCTCAAACTTATAAAACGAAGAATAAAGATTTGGGAGCGCTGTGACTCTATCACTGGATATGCTTACGATTTCAATATTTACAGTGGAAAAAATGAGTCAAATGACACTGACAATAGAACACTGGGGGAACGAGTAGTTATGAAATTAGCCGAGACGATTCGTGAACCTAATGTGGTACTTGCTTTTGACAGATTTTTTACAAGTGTGCGGCTTCTCACAAGTATACATTATCCTGCTCTTGGTACATGTATTATGAATCGGAAAAACGTACCTAAGTTTGATAGCAAATTAAAAATAGGTGTACATCAATTTCGTAGTTGTTCAGATGGATTGTTAGCAGCAATATGGCAAGACAGTTAAGATTTTGTAGTAATTAGTAACAGTCATACGCCAATTGTTGGAGAAATTCTCGTACGCAAAAGGATGAGACAAAATTGAAAGTGTCTTGCCCAAATTCTATTATTTTTTATAACCAAATCATGGGCGGAGTAGATCTATCAGATCAGAAAATGAGTGTGTACGAATGCAGCCGTAAGTCAACGAAGTGGTGGAAAAAGGTGTTCTACAAATTATTAATGTCAGCGGTCGTAAATGCATGGATCCTCTATAATGAAGTCAATGAAAATAAAACCAGACTACTACAATTCTTGGTACCATTGGCTGAACAAATGATGGCAACAGGAATAGCAAATTGTGCAGTAAAACGCAGGAGAAACAGTGGAAGACCATCAAAGATCGCGAAAACATTAATCAATGTTGAAGACCATTTTCCTGTCGAGGTCATGACAAGACGAAGATGTGCGAGGTGTTCAATGAAAAAAAAAGAAACTAAAAAGGGCTAAGCAAATGTGTCAAATGTGCAATTTACCACTATGCAAAAACTGTTTCACATTGTACCATACTTCATAAAAATTAATTATATTATTTCGAAAATGTCAATTCATTCACCTAGTTATTATATTATGTTTTTTTGGTAAATAATAAAACGAATAAAAAAATATTATATAAAATATAATACTATTATAATGAAATTAAAATAATGTTTTTTATATTATTTCGTACTTATAAATATAAATGAAAAATTATCCCAGCTTATCCTCAACCTTTGGAATATATGTCCCACACATGCAACACTACTGTGTGACACAAATGTCCTGGCAAGAATTAACCAATGGGACACATGTGTCCCACCTCCCCTAAATGTCCACCTCAGTAGTATGTGTTTGGGGAGTTTGGCTCCATTTTTACAGGGAGATGAAAAAAAATCAAGGGAACAAATTCCCCTTACAGTGCATCCAATCTCCCTGTAATTTCAAAACAAAAATTTAAATGTTTAACCAGTTACATTATTAATTGCCAGACATGATGTTAAATAATACATAATTAATTTAAAATATTTAGTTAGTTATTAATGAACCGTTGATCAATCAAGTTGTGTTTTATTTTTTATTTTTCCGACAAATTATCTTATTGATTTTTACGATTAAATATTTTCAGTTTTATCAAAAACCATGAATTTACAGAAATTTTCAATCGATTTTCCATCTTTAGTTTATTTGGTGCGAAATAATTCATATCCAGTCTATTCAGATTCTACAACATTTTTATCGAGATTAAAATCATATAATTCTTTTCCATCCACTTCGTGTCAAAATAAATATACATTATCTGAATCTGGTTTCAGATATACAGGAGTAGGAGATATAGTTGAATGTTTTTTCTGTGGACTTGTTTTACAAAAATGGACAAATGATGACATACCGTGGGTTGAACATGCAAAATGGAATCCTAAATGTATATTTGTTTTACTATGTAAGGGAAATTAATTTATAGAAAATGTAAAAAACGAATATGTAAAAGCAGGTCATGTTTGCGATTGTAATGAGTCTAAATCATACACACATATAAATATTGGTGTTGATTTAGCAATAACTAAGATGTTGAATGTTAATATGTTATATTAAGAAATATTTGTATTACACATGACGAAAATGACACGTTTAATTAAGTTACTTAGAGTAACAACAAAAATGTTTGAAATTACTCATATCTTTTATTATTTTATATCTACGATATGCTTAAATTTATATCAAATTAAGTTATAGTAATATAAAAATATATTAAAATTACATTTTAATATTATAATTTGAACAATAATTCCGAATCGAATCAACAGTCATAAATGCTATTTTGACCACCATAATATATTCTATAGAGAATGGATTTTACTATGTACAATAATGTTAAATCAACCACATGATACTTCAAAACGACGTGCGCTAATAGGAGTAAAATTTACTGGATATCTAAATTTAGTGCAAACTTCCCGCCGCCGTGGCTGCGTAGACCAATTTTCCAAGATATTGATAATGCCGGTTTGTGTTTCATTGTTCGACGTTTGTGTGTGTGTTTGTTACATAGAGTAATGGTATATACTATATAGTACTCTATGGTTTGTTACTAAGAATAGTTTTATTATGTTTTATGTGCACGACACATAACCTCCAACCTGTGTTATTTAAAATTTCAACTCATTTCCGTCTCCACGTTCTTCTCGAGTTTCGAAATAACAACGATCTGTTAAATATTGTTGATTTGTATAAATTTATGCTATTTACACGAATATGGATTTGTTTCAAGATCAAGTACGTGTAAAATTAACTATATATTTTTAAAGAATTCAATTATTATATAGTTACACAGTGTAAATTAATGGTGTTTTGAAACGAATATTTCGCTTTCTGTAATATAGTTTCTATACCCGGATTTATTCGCACAGCAGACAACTGCAGTAACACAGCAGTCTGTTGAAGGACATTTTGAAAGTACTGAAGTCGAAGATATTTCAAATAATCTTTATACAATCCCATCTACACCTACATCGGCTACATCGGCTACATCGGCTACATCGGCTTCATCAACGTCTAAAAACTGTTCAAGTCTAAGACCATCGCCATTTGAACATAAGAAATATGGGAATTATAAACCAATGGAATGGACGATTGAAGTAAGTTTATATATTATATTGTTCAAATTCAGATAAGAATTAAATCAATTAAACATAGGTAGGTTTTAATTTAAGTAAAACTGTATAGGGTTTTATTAAGACACTTAAAAGTTAAATGTAACATAAATAAAATATTATATATGATAGGTAATTTTTACTATTATTTTACTAACAACTACCTAGGTAATTTTATATTTTGAAAAACTTTCCAAGGCTCATCTTTATTTAAACTGTATACATGCTATTTAAATACAAAAAGTAGGCACCTAACATATTTTAAGAACTATATTTTTTTTATAGACATTATTAGATTTAATACATAAAACCAATGATGGCAGATATATTTTAGCTGATGCTGAAAGAAATGATGGGTTTTTATCTGACGATTCACAGAATTTACTGACACAACTTTTGATAAATCATCTGTTTCAAGACAATAGCAAGTAAGAATATTTTTTATTATAATTAGGTAGTTGGTAGATAGTTTTTTTTATAAGGATTGGAGGTTGGAGTGTATAATATAGTTTACATAGGCGTCACACATGGGAAGCAAATGCTGCACTTGAAAGTTTTCTAAGGGCTATATATCATTTCGCTGTTAAAAAAATTAAAATAAAACAACATTCTATTTGATTATACTGTTAAGTGCTGAAATATGGTTAATTTTTGTACATAGAAACTCTGATTTCATCAGTTTGGGAATATACCTAATACTTATATATTATTTTTTAAATATGCTGTGATAATGTAAAATAAAGTATGTAAACTTTTTATTTACTATGAGATTAAAAAAAATTAGTAAAGTGATATAAGTCATATATTTAAGAATACTTAATCTTGTGCTCAATTCAAAACTTAAGTCTGCACACACCTATGGGCTTGATTATTTACTGTACTTACAGTAAAAAAGACATTTGAACCCAATATATATATAAGGTTAGATAATCATAAATTGTATTGTTTGTTATTACAGAGGAACTGATCTATTTTTTAGAAAAATTGCCAGTTTAGTTGTTGAAATATTTCCTAAAGAGCAAAATGTATAAATACCTATTATAATATTAAAATACTTCTTCTAATTACAAATTTATAAATTTATCATTATTTTTAATTAATTCTTAATAATTTAAATTAACTATTTAATTTTTAGAGTGTTTACTTTATACCAGCCAAAACAGAAGGTCCACATCAAGCACATGCTAAAGGAAAACTAATTGAACGATGGAAAAATGTGGCTAGGCGACTACGATCAGTTGGTGTCTTATCTTCTGTAAAAAAAAATTCCAACAATTTCGGTCCAGAACAGACAATTTCATTTTCTGGTAAATTACTTTGTGGTCAAATGATAAAATTAAAAAAAAATTGATTTATATTGATGACTATAATATGTTTCTTTAGTAGGTAGGTAACAATTTTTGTTTTCCTTTTCCTATACGTCATGTATCAAATTTGAATTTATTATATTAGTTTTTCATAAAACTAAGATTCCATTATTTGTATGGCAATAATTAATTTAAATACAATCCTTTTAAATACATTACGGTTAAAAAAAAAAATCAAAATACCTGTATAAATCACAATTAATATTTATGTAAAATTAAAATTTGACCAATGTTATGAAATATTTGTACTAAACAGCTAATTTCTTTTTTCTTCTTACATTCAATAATAATTTGTATCATGTCATCTAATTTTCCATTTTAAAGATTTTACAAATCCTTTAAGAAAATTATTGCTTAGTTACAATAAATTACATACTTTTTTCATTTATAGAAGATGTACATGCTGCCAAGCAATGGTTGGCAAGCGATGGATTAACAGCAAGTTTTGATCTTGTTATATCTAAGTGGCAATATACATCAGAGTTAAGAAAAAGCGAAATTTTGAATCCTAATAGTCAATGTTTATCAGACATTTTTGAATCGTGGCCTGTTCTTCAAAGTCCAAGAGGGTTTGAATTAGTATGTTCTATGTATTTTTATTTATTATAAGATAAGAACATATAAATTACATGGACTAAGACACTTTTTTTTAATAAATATTAAAAAATCTATTTTTATTTTCAGATTATTAAAGACTTTGAACTATGTTACTCAAAATCGAATGAACAATTAAAGAATTGTAATTGTTTTTTGAATAGTTGGGATATATTTACTGCTAAACTTTTAAAAATTAGGAGAAGTTCTATTAAAGATAAATATGCTCGTAATCTCTTATCAGAATTAGATTTGGCCGAACTAAATGGAAGTATGTATAACAATTTATTTTTATTAAACTCCAACTTTTTTTAAAGATTTTTCTGATCTGAAATATAAAAATATACACCACTGTAAAGTGTAAGTGTATACAATACTGTACAAAATGTGTATAAATAACTGTTAGACTAGTTTTACATGGGTACATATTTTTATGTTTTAGTAATAATTTTTATATTTTATTTGTATGTTGGTCCTATGAAATTAAATTTATCAATTAACTCTTTGTTTATTAGGACTTAATTATAATTTGTTGGGGGGGGGGGGGCTCAATTAAAAATTACAATGTTTTGTGATTATATTAATTATAATTATTAACCAAACTATGTTTTACTAAATTACTTTGATTTATATTTATTTTTTAGATGTAACTACAACAAATGCTTTGAAATTACTTTTACTTCCTTTTTTAATTCCAACCAAAACTCTAATTTGCAATACAACCCAAAATAGTTTTGCAGCTGCAGTTGAATTGGGTTTGTGTACTGTATTTACAGATTATAGTTGGGAATTTTGATCGATTATACACAAGATATCGATTTTATCATTGATAATATTGTTATATAATATTATAATGTAGATAATTATTATTGTCATATTATGGAGTATGGACGGACGTATGGTGATCACTGTTTATAGTATTTGTTATTCCCCGTCTACCAATACATCCTAGTACTTATTTCACATTTTGATTTTCGACTTCTTTGGTCATTGAGTGTAGTAGTGTACATTATTCATAAGTGCTACGTGCGACGTGCCTACTTCTATATAATACATATTATATAACAAATAGACTGTATGTATTAAATATTTTATTATTTAATCATGGATAATTTTGTTGTAAAGAACTTAAATGAACTCAACATTCCGCAAAGTATTGTTCAAGAATTTATAGGTAAGTTTCCTAAACCTAAATTAATAAACCCTAGTTTACCCTAAGACTAGATTTAATCTATATAGTTATTTGTTAGAATGTAACAAGTTAGTACTAAGTTAGGTACAGTACCTAGTAGTCTATAGTACTTATTAGAATTTATATTATAATATTATATTTTGTAGGTATATAATAGGTACACCATACACACGTGTCAGTGTGTCACCTTATATTTGTTGTAATCCTTTAGCTTATTACAAATTAACAAATATATGTCATCTCATTTTATCGGTATTGATAGATCTGTGTATTCCTACTAGGTCATCGGTAGGTAAAGTAAAATATGTTATAGGTATTGACAATTTATTTAAACATACATTTAAAGTGTACTTGGGATAACTAAATCAAATTTATAAACATCAAGATCCTCTATTATTTCCCCATTTGGTAATAATATGTCTGACCGTATCAGAAATAGACGACATTTTGTAATTAATTTTTGCTTGTTATCTACCCAAATATTATTTTGTAATGGTTAGATCAAGAAGTAGATGAAGAAGCTTTCCGATGCTTAACTGAATCTATGGTGCGAGAGCTTTGTCTACCTATGGGTCATCGAGCCAAAATAGTTAAAAGAATTTCAGAATTGAAGTCTGAGTTATCATCTAATGTCCAAGTAATAAAAGTGTACCTACTAATGTGTACCCAATTGTACCTATTAATAGTTAATACTATATTGTATGCATTAAACTGTATTATTTATTTTAGAATTCATGTAATTCTTCTTCGGAGACCTCTGTTTTTAATATTTTAACTGATGGTAATTTGAGTCATGTAAATGATATACTGAACTCCCATGAAACCTTGCAGACAAATTTGGATGATTCAAGTATCTATGCTTTATAATTTATATTCTTGTTGTGTTAAGCATTTACTATTTAATAATATAATTTAAATAAATTGTAGGTATAGAAATTATCAATCAGGATTTTTCAACGCTTGGAAACTGTATTACTGATAATAAAACTAGCCCCTGCTATACAAACAAACATTTCACCAGCTTCATTGATACTCCTGCTAGGACCAGCTTTATTGATACTCCTAGCACCAGCCAAATTGATACTCCTGCTAGGACCAGCTTTATTGATACTCCTAGCACCAGCCAAATTGATACTTCTAGCACCAGCTTTATCGATACTACAGTATGTTTTTTAAGTACCTACCTAACTAGTATATATGACTATGCATTCAAACCATTATTTTATTACTGTTAAATGTATTTTGTTACAAAATTGTTCTATGTACTAAGACACATTACAATTTTTTTTATTTTTTTGTTACAGTCATTATATACATCAATTAGTTTAAAATCTATTTTGAATAGTTATCATGAAGGCAAAATCATTTTAGATAATTATTTAAAGAATAATGAACTAAATGGATTGTTGAGAAATAAATTATCTCATATAATAGTAACGCATTTGCTCAAACAAAGTGAAGACAAGAAAATATCTACTGAAAAATTAATTGCAGTATCTTTAGAAATTTGTTCTGTATTTCCTCAAGAACATAAAGAGACATATTATACTCCTTACAAAAAAGAGGCAAATTTGGTATCGCCAGCTAGAGGAAAGTTGTGGGATAAGTATAATAATCTCAGAAAAGAAATTAGGAAAACAAACCAAAGATTGACTAAAGAGATTACTCCTGAAAATAGTTTTATACCTACCCTAGGTATAGTAAATATTATAGAATTTATTCATTAATATATTTATTAATATTAAATGTGTTATTTTTTTTTGTTAAGAATTAGCAGATGATATAATATGGCTCAAAAATAATATATCACCTTGGAGTATTGTTGAAAACAAATGGCTTAAAACATTTCAAGAGAGATATAATTATTTATTAAGCGATGATACAAATAGTTGTTATCTATCAGTCTATCCTCCATTAAAAAGTCCACTTGGATTTACATTGGTCAGTATGAATTTACTCAAAGCTAAAATTACTTAATTAATTTTTTTATGAGTTATTTTTACATATTTGATTACAGATTGATCTGTATTTTAGTCAGTTATACCCCCAAAAAACACTGATTCTTTTTACCAAATTCGAAATTTTAAAAAACAAATTATCAAATTATATAAATAGATATAATGTTAAAGGAATTGATAGTAATTTGATAGATGCGATCATAAATCCTCCAGATTCTGGTAAGTTTTAACAAATTATTATTACATAAAATATGGCTCCTATTTAAAAATTCTTGAAATGTACAATTTATTACTTGAAATTAATTTTTAATACATAAATGCTAATACTTTATAGGCATTGACACAGTTGCTGCTCTAAAAGTTCTGGTAGAATTATTTAAACCAATAAATATATCAAAAAGAACATGTACTGGATCAAAAAAAAATTTTACTAGACCATCTAAATTAGAAATTCAGCAATCATTCATTTATTATGCAAATGTATGAATTCATAATTTCATTTCTTTTTAAAACTAAATTAATTCTTTGAAATAAGTAATTATAGTTTAGTTTACTTACAGACAGTATCACAGTTGAAAGAAGTAGAC